CTGCCACAAACTCCATAAAAATTTCTTGCACATTTTATCCCCGTCCTCTAGGGCTTCTTGTGCCCACCATGTATCCCCAATTATCGCGATGGTTTTTTCGCTGTTGTCTAATTTACCAAACTTGTCCATGTCACACCTTCTCTGTCTCATTTCCTCCTGGAGATCCTCTCTTTCCTTCTTGTACAACTCACACTCCCCAATTATGTGGGGTTTACTTTCCTCCGATTTGCCACATGGACATGGGTGTCTATCCTCCTCTTCCTCTCTCCTACGGCTGGTATACCTTTTCCTCCGTTCTGGCAAGTCCAGATCGCCTACTGGAAATTGCAATTTCAGTTTTTTCGCATAGTCCATGGGGCCGTCCAAGTAGGTCTTCATCCCTATCCCTTCTTTCAACTTCCCGTATATTTCCAAGTGGTCTTGGTTTTGTCCCTTCTTCAGAAGGGTTGCCTCCTCCTTACTTTTTAGCTTCTCCTTGACTTTGTTCTTGAACCCCCGGAACCTTTCCATGGCACGGGGGGGGGGGGGTTAGCGTGGTGGGGAGGGCATCACCGACGGCAACGGCCAGAGCGTGAGAGAGACGAGACACTCGGTTATGATGCAATGCAGGCTTGACGCGTGGGTTCGACTATCACAGAGTGGTTTTCGAACGACCGAGTACGGTGGGAATGTTGGAATGCTCTCTTTGATTTTTTCTGAAGAGTATGTTCGGCATCGTTGGCTGAGTCACTCCAGTTGACTCCTTCTCAGTACTCGACCAATATTCCACCCATCACCCCCCCCGCGTCACTATCCCAACAGAGGCTCCCCGCCCCTCCAGCTGTTACAACTCCACCCTAACCCCTCAATATATTGCGCCTAGAGTTCTTAACAACGTTCCTGTGCATCCTATGCCTCATCCACAACAACAACAACAATATCGACAACGACATCGACATCGACGACGATATCGACGGTGGCACCACCAGTACGCGGTGGTGCGAGGCGATGCCGCGGAAGAGTTCACCGACACCGTGAGCGCGGCATGCACCGGCGACAAGACGGTCTTCTTCCTCCCCGACCACTACACCGCGCCCGACGATGAGGAGGTGGAGACCACGGAGGATGAGGACACTACCGACGACGGAGAAGACGAGGTTTGTGTCTCATTGTTTTGTATTGTATCGTGTTGTATGTGTGTTGTATTGTGTTGTATTGTATGGTAATGTAATGTAATATGTCATTTTGCGATTGTATCGTTGTGTTTGTGGTGTTGTGTTGTGGAGTGTGTGTTGTAGCGTGCGAGAGACGAGTAGTTGTGGATGTGCGTGCGTTTCCCGTTCGGACGAATGAACGCGAAGAGATTTGCATGTTAGACGACTTGTTTTGTGTGCGTGCGTTCTTGCTGTGCCGTTCGGACGAATGAATGCAAAGAGGCTTGGTTTGTGCCGGAGACTCTATGGCGTTGTCTATGTGTGCTTCTCTGTCTGTCGCTCTGAAGAACGAACGAAAACTACGTGTTGGCTAGTTTAGTTGCAAGTTCTGTATCGAACTTTGCTGCTGTGAGAAAGAGAGGTTCTTAGCTTAGCCTGGGTACACGCTGCCGGAAATATAAAAAATCGAAAAAAGAAGGCGTGCACCGGGCTAGGAACATTCGGACCGCATGGTCTATATATAAGTCATGGATATTCGTGTGTACATGCGTACGTCACGTTGTTCTTGGAACAAAGACTAACATAAAAGCATCGTGAGCTAGTGAAGGGGTTACACGTTAGCTTCGCGGGTGGCGCCCATTTACACGCTCGGCCCATTCCTCCTTCTTCTTGTGCCCATACGACTCCGACCGTGACAACAGAGCTGACCTCCCTCCCCTTGTCCCTGCTACAACAGGCGGGTGTCGTGGCCAGTGACAGCTACGAGTACATCGGGTGCTACAACGACGATACCCAGAACTCTCTCCTCCCCGTGTTGGCTCTTGACGACGATGACAACATGAGCGTGGAGGTGAGCTAATCGGTTGCTTTGCATTCGCGATCTTCTTGCTTCCACTACCTAATGTTTTTCTTTTTTTCTTTTTGTGGTTTGGGTTGTTGCTGTGTGTACCCTCTTTTGGCCATGGACACGAAATAAAGAGAGTGATGCAGACAGAAGACAGAGTCAAGGGCCGTTTTTTTTTTTTTAGAGTACCCCTATCTACAATAGTCGTTTCCCGCGTCCTGTTCCCTGGGCGGGTGGTCTTGATGACCTGCCAGCCAAGACGACTACGACGATCATACAGCACGAGTCGTGAAGATATGACTGCGTGGCGCCTACCTGTCCTTTGGCATGTCTGCCCTTTTTAGATACTGCCTTCTTTCCTCTCTGGCCTCACGTGTGTTTGGTGGATCGTCACGTGTGTTTGTGGATCATCCCATGCGTGCTGTGTGTCTTTTCTCATGCATTCATTTTTCGTAGATACTCGTGGCGGCTTCGTTCAGCCGCACCTCTGTTGTTGTGGCTCTGGTGTGGTGGTGGTTGTTGTTGTTGTTGTTGTTGGTGTTGTTGTTGACGCTGTTGTCGTCTTCGCACCAAACATCGTGGTGACCTATCTATCTACCCAACGCCTCCTATCATTCTTGCCACGCTCTTGGATGGGAGTAGGATCGTATATTCAACGGTCAAGGCATCGGTCTATCCCCTCCCACATGTCTGTTGCCCTCTTGATCAAGTGGTCTGGAGTGCACGAAGCCTGTTCTTCTATCCTTGTTCATCCGTTGGGTCTTCGCACTCTCATCTGTCTCCCTGCTCTCTGTCTCCCTCCGGTCGACTGTCTTTTTTTTTTGGTGTCCCGGCATTTGCCACCGCTTGGGCATACCATCAGAAATGCATCGCGGCCTGCGTATCTGAAGGCAGCCAGTACGCCGGGATCAAGGAGGGGAACGAGTGAGTTTTATATAGAAATTGTACCAAAATACTACACGCTTATTAGATCGGCCACACAGCAGCGGCGACTTGGTGGTTCGGTTGGTAGCGTCGAAGGATCTCGCCTGGCTCGAGGTTGTGGCTTCGGCATGAACATCGCTGTTCGGAACAAACATCTCGTGACTTTGGATGATGTTTGAATTGAAAAAGCGCACACCCAGTAGTCGTGAGTACACGCAATAAAGAAAGAAGGGGCTGCTGAACGGCACACCCAGTAGTCGTGAGTACACGCAATAAAGAAAGAAGGGGCTGCTGAACGAAACGTTTTCACGCTGACGTCCGAATCGAACCGAACCGAAGCGAATCGAAGGAAGACCTGCCCGCATGATCCCGGCGGGGTGTGTGTTATTCTTGACGTCCGTTGGACAAACCATCCTTTGCTCCGACGCTCCCGGTGGGACGTGCACGACACGTGCGCAGTGTTGTGTGCTTGTGTTTTTGGACTTGCATCGACCGCGCTGTGGCCGGCCGATCAACGACACTACGTCAGTGTTATCCATGGTACGGCGGAACGAGTGTGTTCGTCCCATCAAAATTATCTTACCTTCCAAGATCTTCCGCGGGTACCCACAATTTTTCGTGGCAAAAATTAAGTCCAATCTATGTTGTCCACGCTTCCAAGATCTTCCGTGGGTATCCACAATTTTCCGTGGTAAAAAAAGAAAATTAAATCACAACCACTTTTGACGAAAACCGTGGAACAGGTGCCGGTGCGGTGACGACGTGGACTACACGCTTCACGGTACGGGAACGTGCAACTTTTCGTGCACTGGGTCGGACGAGACGGTGTGTGGGGGAGAGTACGCCTTCGACTTGTACGAGATCCACGGAGATGGCGGTGTGGACGGAGTGGTGTCCAGCGATACCGACGACCAGGGGGACGACACGGGCGGCGTCGGGAGCGACGAGGGTGTGTTGCTTTGTGGTTTGACCGGTGTATCATCGACCGGCTGACCGTTGAAAATTTGTTCGTCAGGAGCGACGAAGGTTGTGTTGTGTGTGTGTTGTTTGATTGGTTTTATCATCGACCCGCTGACCAATGAGGATACGTCAGTCGGTGGCGACGAAGGTGTGTGTGGTTTGATTGGTTCAGCATGGACCGGATGTCCAGTGAAAAGACGTCGGAGCCGAATGTGCTTCTACAGCAGTTCACCATGTGTGTTGTAGCATCGTAGCATCGACCGACCGACCCATAAGACGATGTCAGCCTCAGTGCGGCTGAAAACAGGGCACGCTTCTACAGGCTAGGCTACCATTCTATGTGGACCCTCGTGGAGAGGGTTGTGTCTATAATATCATCGTCGACCAGGTTAACCGCCTGCCCGTCAGTGCCAGCGGCTAACGTCTGGAACGTGGTGAAAAATCGAACAAAAAAGTGAAAAAGGTCACTGCGCTGAACGCGAATGCGTGTGTTTGTGCGCGAACACATATTAGTCGTCGTCCCCCCAGTGTGGATGCCCTGCATGATCTGATCACGTGCATTTCCTTTCGTTTGACCACGTCTCGTTGGTCTTTGCAGAGAACGAGAACGACACCAGCAGCAACCACGACACTACCGACGGTTACACCGAGAGCGTCGTGGTCGTCCAAGGCGATGACGACGAGGTAGGTTCATCTTCGTTGCTGCTAGGCTGCTAGGTATTGGCAAGCTGCTGCTAGGTATTCACAAGCTTACGCATCGCTGCTGCCGCTAGGTTTTCATAAGCTTACGAACGGCAGCTGATGCTGCTGTGATGTAGAGGGTGTTTGGACGGACGTCCATACAGTGTTTTCATTTAGATGGGAAACGGTGGGGGGGGGGGGGGGGGGTTGAATAAAAACCGACCCCCTGCTCCCCGGGGCGGAGGGGGAATTTCACACCAT